CTGTGCCCCGGGGAAGGCTCAGGGGAGGGCTCGGCCTGGGCTCCTGGGCTCCGATGGGCCGTCACGGGAGGGAGCCCTCCGGGGCAGCCTGGGTGCTGCAGGGAGAGGAATGAGGCCGGAGTGTCGGCTCTGATGGAGCACGTGTCCTCCTGGGCTCGCACCCTCCCAGTGAGCAGCGAGGAAGAGCTGGGTATGGCGTGACAGGGTCTAATAGGACCTGTCGGCGACACCTGCTGGTTCCAAATAATCTTTGATTTAGCCCCAGATCAGAGGAGGCAGGGCCAGGCAAGTTCTCGAGAAAAGCACTCCCTGAAGACAGGTTGGTGGCAGCTACTGTCCGGGCCCTGCCCTGTGCACAGAGGATGGGACCCAGGACCAGAGGGCAGTGACTGGACTGCAGGGCTCTTCTGCCCTGGCGCTGCTCTGCTCACCGCTCTTTCCTGACGCTGAGGCCTAGGGCTCCCCTACAGTCCCGGCACCACCCTGGAGGGCCCCAGAGTTGGCTCTGCTGGAGTCGTGTCCCTGAGCCTCTCCCTGCCCACGGTCCCATCTCCTTCCATCTTGTGGCCCCCTGTGGCTGTCTACCTTGCCGTTGTTTCTTGTGCCCATAGAGCAGTGATGGCGAACCCATGACACGCGTGTCAGAGGTGACACGCAAACTCATTTTTTTGGTTGGTTTTTCTTTGTTAAATGGCATTTAAATATATAAAATAAATAGCAAAAATATGTCTTTGTTTTACTATGGTTGCAAATATCAAAAAATTTCTATATGTGACACGGCACCAGAGTTAAGTTAGGGTTTTTCAAAATGCTGACACGCCGAGCTCAGAAGGTTCACCATCGCTGCCATAGAGAGTCAGCCCCATGAGGACAGGGACGCGGACTCGTTAACCCTGGATGTGCTGGTGGAGAAATGGGCACCTGTGGCGGTGCCTTCTCCTCAGGTTGTGTCCTGGTTTGGTCCAGGTGGGGTTGGAGCTGCAGCTGTGGGGTGCAGGGAGGCTGGCCCAGAGCATTGGGAAGGAGGGGTCCTGTCGGGCGTTTCAGGGTGATGGGGCGGGGCTGCAGCCCCATTCCTGCACCTGCCCTGAGAAAGACACCCCGAACCCTCTGTCCCTGAGCCCGGCCCTGGTGAACCAGCCCCCCTCCCTACCCACCCCCTGGCCTCATTTTACTCCCCCAGCAAACTCCCCTCCACTGGGATGGGTGTCAGGCAGGAGTGGAAGCCTTAGGTGCCTGCCCCAACTCTGCAGTGCTGTCCAGCCTCCCTGAGTGTGGGCCAGCCCCCCATCTGCCCACGCCCAGGGTCAGGAGGGAAGCTCCTGTGGGCAAAGACGGACAGGCCTCTGGTGGGCGTAGACCCACCCACGTTACCTAGGCAGGCAGGAGAGGCCCCTTTCAGATGTGTGAACCCAACCCTATCTGGAATTTTCTCTCCGGTGAGGTTCTGGCAGCTGTTAGGGATGTTGTTGGAAGCTGAGTCAGGAGGAAAGAAAGCTGGCCCTGGCCGGTTTGGCTCGGTGGTTGGGGCATCAGCCCGCAGACCGAAGGGTCTCAGGTTCCATTCCCAATCTAGGGCATGTACCGCCATTGCAGGTTCCATCCCAGCCCCAGTTGGGTCACATGAGGGAGGCAACCAATTGATGTGTCTCTCTCACATTGATGTCTCTCTCTCTCACAACCCCTTCTCCCTCCCTTTCATTCTCTCTGAAAATCAATGGAAAAATCCTTTAGTGAGGATTAAAACACAAATGAGGAAAGCCAGCGACACCCAGTGACTTGATACGAGGGAGGAGTCGGGACTTGTGGGCAGCCCCTGTGCAGACTGGAGGACGGCTCCCTTAGCCGACTCACCCTTTCCGAATGGCTCTTCCTCCTGCCGCCAGGCGGGCCTGGCTGTGTCGTTCCCCCCCAACGCCGAGCACAGGTGCCTGGGGGACATGCTGGAGCCGCGCTGTGAAGGGCAGCGCAGGCAGTTATTCTCAGATGTTCAGGAGGGTAGAGTTTCAGATTTGTTTATGCCTCTGGGAGGCACCGTGGGCACGGGTGGTACGCCCAGCTCAGCACTGACATTCACCTCAGCTTGGCCAAGAGATAGCTCAGATGTCCCTGTTCTGCTGGGGGCAGTTGGCCCTGCCACTCCAGGCAGGCCCGGGGTCTGAAGCTCTTCCTAGGGCATTTCAGGGGGTGCACGGTGGTCCTCACCAAGCCCTGGGCCAGCAGTGGGCCAGCCTGTGCCCAGGGGGCAGTTCACACCTGAGGCTGCCCGTTCTCAGCAGGGTCAGTGCTATTAATATCAGGCAAGTGCACAGCCCCAGCTGCGCGATCCTCTTACGCCTGTGAGTGCTGTTCCTTCGGCACAGGGGCCTGAGGGGCTCCCAGCTGTTAGCTCCCCGCCTCCCAGTGGGTAGCCTCTGCAGCCAGGGGTCTGGCCTCACGCTGGCTGCCCACCCACCCATGGAGGGGCAGCTCACATGGTTCCTGGGTTGTCCTCGGGGGCTGCTGTGGGCCTGAGGCAGTGTGGGGTGCCCCTGCAGACACCTCGGATCATCTTGTGTCCAGCCATGGGCAGCCCCTCAGCTTACCCTGGCATCAGGATCTCAGGGTGCTGGGCCCTTGGAGCAGAAGGCAGGTGAGTGGCAGGACTGTTGTCCACAGCTGTGGTGAAGAGCCCTTCCTCCCCGGCATCTCGGTCGATTCCTGTGGGGGGCGCTGTACATCAGGGACCAGGAGCCAGGCCGGTGCTTGGGGCGGGTAGGGCCCACCACCCGCAGGCACGGGGGGCTGCTCATTGCAGGCAGGTCTGTGTCCCCCAGTCCTGTAGCTGAAATGCCCTGTCATCGCAGTCCGCGTGCTCTGTCCGCCTATGACCAGGGAAACGAGGTCTGTGTGAGTTTCCCTTATCGAAATTGGTCCCGCTCTGACACGGCTCGCTCTGAGGGCACAGTGAGGCTTTGTCCCTGGCTCGCAGGGAGCTGGGCTTGGGGAAGGCCGTGGACTGGGCTTGGCTGCAGACCCGCCTGATGCTTGCAGGCCCCTTGCACGCCGAGGGTGCTTTCTGGCCGCCGCCCTGGCCCGCGCTCCCTGTCCGGGGAGGTGTCTACCCGAGGCTGTCGGCAGCACCAGCTCGGAAGTCGGAAGTTGTCCTTGCCGGTGGTCATGACCTCAGTAGGATGCGGAGCAGGCACAGCAGGGACCTGAGGGCTCCCCCCAGAGGCTGCCAGCCTGGGTGAGAAGCAGAGGGACAGGAGTGGTGCCGGCCCTGGCCTCCGCTGTCGGGGTCGTTCTGCGAGGCCATCTTCAGCACGGGTGCGCCCTTGCTGGCCAGGTCTTGCCCTTTGCAAACCATAATTTCTCGGGGTTTCCTCCCTGAGTAGAAAGCACAGCGGGGAGGGGCCTCTTCGTTGCCAGGATGGTTCCGTCTGCCATTTCCAGGGTGACCGGGGCCTGGGGACACCATTTGTCTCCAGGGCGGCTGGTCCATGCCAGTCTGAGTTCCCCAGGCGCTCACGGTCCATGGTGGTGCTGTGGCCTGTCCCCAGGCCTGCCTGGCCACTGGGTCATCTTGACGCCCAACCCCATGGCGAGCGTTAGCACCGGGTTCTGAACAGACCCGAAGGTAATGGCTGTCCCCGCAGAGACGCTGCTGAGCACCGCGTGCGCTGACGGCTCACTGCCCCCGCCCCCCATGGGGCCGCGTGCCTCCTGTCAGCGTGCGGACGCTGTTCTCTGTGCCCTCGAGGCTGCGAGGCTGTCCGTGTGCCTGTCGCGTGCAGGGCCTCAGCTCACCTCTCTGCTGTCCCCCCAGCACACGCACAGGCGCACCTGGCACTGCGGGCTGTAGCGGTGATGGCAGGACAGAGCTTCAGTCTAGACCACGACTTGGTCTGGTTTATGATAACAGGGGCACGTCCTTGTAAGACAGTCAAATGGGGCAGAAATCCCTGGTCCAGATCTCGGTGCCCAGGGCCACTGTGGCACTGCTTCCAGCTCGTTGTGCACATGCATGTCCCACTCACACGCGCAGACCCGAAGGGAACGTGGGCTGGCCATCTCCACATGCTGGTTTTCACATAAACATCTTAGTTTACTTCTCGTCCAACTCACGTCCCGGACAACTGCCATGTCCCCGTCCGTCTGGGCCTTTCCTGAGCAGGTGTGGAGCCAGGCCGCTCAGCCCCCCGGGCCTCCCCAGAAGCCATCCTGTTGGTTCTGGGGCCTCAAGCCAGTGACCACACTGGAGGCCTGCCTGCCTGAGGCCGGGATGTGCCTCCCACAAGCAGTGCCGCATGGGGAGAGCTGGGCACAGGTGCCGTCTGCCTTTCCCAGGCAGAACTGCCACCTTGCGGGCCGTGGAGCCTCCGCCCTCCGCCCTGCAGTTGGCAGGTGCTCGAGGGTGAGAATCAGTGGCCTCCCCAAGGGTCTCCCAGCTCACGGTCTCCCACCTACATCCGTCCACATCACTGTCCTTGGCATGGGTGGCACTCCCCCTTCACAGAAGTTGTGGTTTGCTGTCTCTCTGAACCTGTGTGAACAGTGACTGAGGCCATGGGCCCTGTGGATGGGCGGCAGGCGGGTTTTGTGTGCCATCTCAGCCATGCCCGCGTGCCTGCATAGAGAAGGCCACCCTGGGCCTGGCGTGGTGGTGGGCTTGGTGGCAGGGCCGGCGAGCGAGCTGTTCTCCTTCCTGCAGCAGCAGCGCTGAGGCCTTGGACAGGCTCCTCCCGCCCGTGGGCACTGGGCGCTCGCCGCGGAAGCGCACCACCAGCCAGTGCAAATCCGAGCCGCCCCTGTTGCGCACCAGCAAACGCACCATTTACACGGCGGGGCGGCCGCCCTGGTACAACGAGCACGGCACACAGTCTAAGGAGGCCTTCGCCATCGGTGAGTCGGCTGCCACCTCCCTGTCACCCCACCGGGTGGGCTGGGCAGGACCCGCCGTCGGTGCCAGGGTGCTCTCCAGCAGCAGCGGTCGGGCTTCCAGTTGTGGTGACTTGGTTGGAAGGGCTCTCCTGGCCCCATCCACCCCGGGACCCAGGTGTGCGGCCCACCTTCTCTGCTCCCCGCAGGCCTGGGTGGTGGCAGTGCTTCTGGGAAGACCACTGTGGCCAGGATGATCATCGAGGCCCTGGACGTGCCCTGGGTGGTCCTGCTGTCCATGGACTCCTTCTATAAGGTGAGGGGTGCCCCGGCGTGTGGCCGCTGTGCCGAGGGCCTGCAGCCCCCCGCCCTGAGTACACCCCTGCTCTCCTCACAGGTGCTCACCCAGCAGCAGCAGGAGCAGGCTGCCCTCCACAACTACAACTTCGACCACCCGGATGCCTTCGACTTCGACCTCATCGTGTCCACCCTCCAAAAGCTGAAGCAGGGCAAGAGTGTCAAGGTCCCGGTCTACGACTTCACCACCCACAGCCGCAAGAAGGATTGGGTAGGCCCAGCAGCTGGGCTGTGAGGGCACTGGGCACACGGGCCGGCACGGGCACCAGCACAGGCTCCTTCCCTTTGCAGAAGACGCTCTATGGTGCCAACGTCATTATCTTCGAGGGCATCATGGCCTTTGCTGACAAGACGCTGTTGGAGGTGAGGGCGGGCTCCAGGCCATCCTTCTGCCGGGATGCCCTCCCACAAGACTCACCTTCAATGCCTCCTCTGGGCAGGCCCTGTCACCCTGTCCCATGGCACAGGGTCACCTGTTCCATCCACTATGTGGTCCCTGGGTGTCGGGTGAGGAGCGGGCCCTCTCCCAAGAGGGGGTCCAGGACATGGGTTTGAGCAGACAGGGCAGGTCTGCCACCCACAGAGAAGATGGAAATGCCCTTGGTGGCAGCCCGAGGGCCCATACTTCCTGGGCCTGGGCACAAGCTCTGGGCTGGTACCTTGGTTTCCTTTCTGTCCCCACCTGCACACACCAGGTTCCTGTCAGTGTTGTCTCTGCTGTCCTCGGGGGTCCCTGCGGTCGCCAAGATCACGGTGATGTTGGGGGTGGCATGGCTCAAGTGCACGCTGGTGTCTGTCTGTGGGTCTGCACAGGGTGCTCCTACACAGGGTGCTCCTGGGCGTTGCCTGTTCTGGCCCTGCAGAGGCTGTGCTCACGGCCACTGTGCACTTCCTGTGGGAGTTCTGAGGCTCAGGCCCCAGGAACCCACTACCCCTAGCATCCTCCATGGCTCCTTCAGGGGTTACCTGCTGTGAGCTGAGTGTGGGGACAGACCCAGACTCACCAAGCCCCAGTCCCCAGTGTGAGGGCATCAGTGAGGGAGGCTGCCCAGAGGAGCGTCGAACCCGTGCCCTCAGACCAAACCTGGCTGACAGCACCCCTGCCCTCCAGACCCTCCATGTGCCACGGGGCCTGGCTTGCTCTCGGTCTGTGCAAGAGCCAGGTTCTAGTCACATGGCCTCATGGCTTCTTCGTGCTAGCCTCCCCAGCAGTGGCTTGCTCCCCTCCAGCTCCTGGACATGAAGATCTTCGTGGATACGGACTCTGACATCCGCCTTGTGCGGCGGCTTCGCCGGGACATCAGTGAGCGTGGCCGCGACATCGCAGGTGTCATCAAGCAATACAACAAGTTCGTCAAGCCAGCCTTCGACCAGTACATCCAGCCCACCATGCGCCTGGCAGACATCGTGGTGCCCCGAGGTGAGCAGGCTGTGGGGGGCGGGTGGGATGCACCGCCATCACCCACCCGCTGGTGTCACACTCCTGCCCTTCCCATCCAGGGAGCGGAAACACAGTGGCCATTGACTTGATCGTCCAGCACGTGCACAGCCAGCTGGAGGAGGTGAGGCAGCTGGCCAGGCCCTGTGTCCCACCTGCCGGCCCCCCTGCCCCCTGGG